GCAGAAGAAAAAGTTTGGGAACCACTGCCTTATATAATTCCAAACTGTGACGGGGTTCTCTTATGACTTGGACTAACAAAAATGACTGCCCAGGGCCAGAGATCTCTTTAGTGAAATTTACTAAGCTTTTCTTCAGGTGAACAACTTGGAGAGGTGCAGATCATGTACAAAGGATGTCCCAGACATGTTAAAATCAAATAAACAGCAGTACCTTTAAATGCAAAAGTCCATCACCTTCAGTATGTCTACCCACAGACTGACTCAAAGTGGAACATAGCCCTGCTTTTAAAGCCACAGGCTCTGCCCACAGCAATAAAAACAAGCAAGCAAAAACAACTAAACAATTACTTCTAACTCAAGTAAACTCTTAAAGTAAACAAAGTAATAATAAATAATACCAAGGGAAAAAAATAAAATTATATATATATATAGCTATATAAATACTTGTGATCAAAATATAATACTCAATTTAATAAAAAAAACACTCGGTACGTTCCGATCCGATGACATCACTACGTCATCACATGACTCCCTCCTGGCGCGCCACAATCCGGAAACAACCGTACTTGAAAATAGAACCGGGAAAATGTGAAAATGTTTGGAACTGAAAACAAGAGGTTGGGATGGATGTGTTAACTGAAGCAGGAACACCGCGTGTACACCCACGATGAACCGCGTCAGTTTAAGCTGCAACAAAAAGTAAGTTAGCGATTGTGTGTGTGTGTGTGTGTGTGTGGGTGGGTGGGTGGGCGTGCTCGCATGCTGACACGGTCTCATAATTAAGTCCCGGCTCGTGACGGCTCCTCCGTCACGCAAACATCAACATGCATTCTGAATCTGTGTTGGTTTTAATTTGAATCATCTGATCACCAGTTTTGTTTGATTTCTCTCAGCTTTAGCTGATCTGTTATTCTTTTGTCTATAACCAATTTATAGCATGCTGTTTTCCTCCTGAGCTTAATTGAAACAAGCATTTCCTAATCATGCAAATTAGATTTTCTGCTTTCATATAGGGTTCCTTTTTTAATTTAGCTCCCAGTATGAACGACCTAATAAATATGAACACAAACAAGACTTAATGGGACAGACATGAAGGTTGATTGATTTCCTATCAGAGTCCCTGCCAGAGACACAAATGAATTGTTTCAGCCAGATTATGAAAATCTGTAAATTGTGCCCTACACAGGTGTTCTGTTCAGGAGGTTCATCATGTTTGAATTTCAACCAACATTTCATAAGTACCTCAGTAAAATTGTTGTCGATTGATCAGAATGTATTTATGGGGCACTTCCACAACCAGGTTTAACACAGAAGTATTTTCTAAAAGCTATAGCAAGAAATCCAAACAATTGTCAACAAACTTATCAAAAATGGCAAAATAAGCAAAGAACATAATAACAAATGTACTTGAATGAAACGGGAGAAATTTTCATTGTTTTTTGCTGGATTTTTGATTTCAACTGTTAATTTTGTTCCAGTCAACTTGAAAACCTTGAAAAATCTATTGTAAGCTAATGTTGTACTTTTATGTAGTTTGACCTGTGGGATAATATAGAATTTTGTTGTGCAAGAATTATTATTCAGTGTATCATTTTCTGTTTCAGTAATATTTGGTTTGTTTGGCTAGAGAAGCAGGTTTGCCTTCTTCAAATTCAGGATCTGTCTTCACTACACTTTGGAACAAAAAAGGGAATGCTTTATAGTTAATCTGAAGGAGAGGAGAGGTTTGCTGGACGTGAACATCCTATTTTTTGAGTTTAGTGTACAGATAGAATTTCACTTCCTGCTTGATCCCTGGAGAAAATGTAATTTGTTTAGAAAAGCTCTGAGAAATGCTGAGCTTATTAGCGCTGCAGAGAGCAGAGAGATAACAAGAGGGGAGGGGCATAAGGTGGAAGCGGGGCATCTGGTGGGAACGGGGCGCCTGCAGCCCAGCTATGGATGTGGATGGAAGAGACATTATGCTGAACTCGGTTTAGGGCTTTTAAAGGCACATACATGGAAACTGCTTAAATACTCGTTAATAATGCATGGTGGAAGTATGCTAAATAAGCCTAAAAAGCATACATTGTTCCTGAAACATTGTTGTTCATAAAAAGAAAGATGTAAAGTGACTAAAAAGTCATTTGAGCAGCATTCAGCTTCTATGCACCTCAAATCTTTAACAAACTTCCAGAAAAGTGCAAAACAGCTGAAACACAGAGTTCCTTTAAATCAAGACTTTTAACCATAATTAATGGAACAGTGACCAACACATCAGATGAGCATTAATGATTTTGAATATGACATTTGACAAAATGTAATGCTTGTCACTGGTTTTCACAACTGTACTCTTGACCAAAGTATGACAAGGATGTTTGAGTCTGCCTAGAACAGGGAAATTGTGCATTGATGAACAAATGGTTCCATTTACTGGTCGATGCCCAGTGCGCCAGTATATACCAGGCAAACCACATCCAACTGGATTGAAGGTGTTTGTCTTGGCTGCACCAACTGGTCTGGTCTTGGACTTTGTAGTCTACCAAGGTAAGAATACCTTCCAAGTTACAGGAGGAAATGACAGAGGTGAATCAGAGATGGTTGTCAGACGAAACCCTCCTGAAGTTGCTGTCATAAGATGGTTGGACAACAAGCCAGTTGTCATGGCATCCTCTGCCTATGGCATTGAACCTCAGGACACATGCAGAAGATGGTCCAAGAAAGACAAAAGATTTGTCCAGGTGTCAAGGCCACTGGCAATTGCTGAGTACAACACCAACATAGGTGACGTGGACTTGGTTGACTGAATGTTGAGTTTCTACAGGATGGCTTCTCGCACTCGGAAATGGACAGTGCGTGCAGTTTTCCACTTTTTTGACGTGGTAATCACCAACTCATGGCTTCAGTATAAGAGTGACTGCCAGTTTCTGGGGAAGAAACCATTGAAGTTGCTTAGCTTCAAACTGCTCCTTGGTGAGGAGTTGATTACTCGGGCCCAAACAGGAATCGGAAGTGACAGTGAAGATGACTACACTCCTCCACGCCAAAAGTGGAAACCACAGCCAAATGCAGCTCTGAGACACTACAGTGCCATCCATCTGAAAGAGATGGTGGACAAAACACTTGCGTCAAGGTGTCACAGATCTGGCTGCACAAGCAAAACATATGTGATGTGGACAAAGTGCAAAGTGTTCCTTTGTGTTTCCAAGAAGGTGATTTATTGCGAGAGCACACTAATATTTATGCAATAGTTTTGCGATCTAATTCAAAAATAAAAAAAGCGCCACCCATATCCACTAGGGGGTTCCGTAGATCTTCATGCATAAGTCAGACCATTCCTTCAGATTACCTGGTTTCAGTGAGTAATGTGTTAATGTTTACATTCTGCTTGTGTCTGATTTTTACCAGATCGATTTCAAGCTGTTCATCTCAAGTTCTTATTGCCGTACAGCTGCAGTTATCACCATCAATCAGTGAAAAGTGTCTGAAAGTTACAGGCTCATTGGAACTTTAAAAGAGGCTCTTCTCAGAAAGTTTGCTAAGTAGACTTCCCCTCCCAGTGACGCCTTCCTGATGATGCAGTGTGGAACCTTTGGATTTTAATAACTCTTGCAATGTCTTTTTTTTAAATCCCAGAGGTGTTTCTTCTCTTCTTTCCTGAATTCATCCATTTAAATAATATGTTCTGTCTCTCCTTTTTTCACTCAGCCCACAAGCCCCAAGTTTGGAAAGGCAGACTCATATGAGAAGCTGGAGAAGCTGGGCGAGGGCTCATATGCAACAGTTTACAAGGGAAAGAGCAAGTAAGCACTGTTCACATGTTTCTCCTGTTTTTCCTTCACCCATGCATTCAATGATGTGTTTAAGTTTGCATACCGCTGCTGTAATTGAATCAAAAGTCGATGAAAAGCTTATCACAGTTGCAGATCCTGGTTTTAATGTAAAATCCCACACATAGTGCAGATTTCTGTATTTTAATTACCAGAGAATGGACATTTTTTCCCCCTCTTTTAATGGTTCAGTGCTTTTCTCCTAGGTTTTTCTAATTAAATTGCGAGAAATGAAAAGTTCCGGTGCTGTAAACGCACAAACCTCTGCAGCCTCTAATCTTCTTCCTGATGATGTTATTTCGTGTCTCTTTTGATTGGTGAGCTTCATTCAGCTGTAGTGATGCGCCCTTGTACCCAAGTCTCACTCCAGTGCTACTAAATTACTTTTCATTGACTTAACTCTCCTCTCTCTGTTCTCAGACTTTGCTGACTTTGAAATGTCTCGTTTTTCTACACAATGAAGAAAGTCCAGCAGATTATGGCACTTTGTTCTTTGTGCTGTCATCAGGGTGAACGGGAAGCTGGTGGCTCTGAAAGTGATCCGTCTGCAGGAGGAGGAAGGAACACCCTTCACAGCCATAAGGGAGGGTAAGTGGAAAAAAAATCTGAATCCCAGTTCACTTCCTGCTCATAGGAGGGTAAGCGGAATGTTCCTCCAGCCCTCTTCAAAGCCACAGCTGGTAACAAAGTCTGAAAAATTAAAAGTTTTCTCGTTTACAATCTTTAATGACACAGTAATGTTTAATTGAAGTGTTTGGATTTTCATTCTCAAAAGCATAGAAAGTAAAATTAGAATAGTATTTGATGATTTTAAATACACTGCTGTATGAGTTAAAACAGGAATTGTGCTGTAGTTTATAGTTTAAGGTTTTCATAGTTGTATTTAGCAACTTTTCTGATGCCTCCAATGAATTTTCTTTTTCTTTAAAAAAAAAAAGCAACTACAGACAAATCTAGTAACTTTCTCAGGATTATTGAAGACCGGGGTTAAAATGGGAAAGCCCTGATAATACTGCAGTTACAATGAGTTCTGAGAGCTGCAGAGCCCCTCACACACACCAGGCGCGTGCAGGCGGTCGGTCTGACTGACAGCAGCCTGCAGCAGAGCAGAGGGGAGACCCACATTCTGAGCATCTATAATAGAACTGATTTAATCCAGCCAAAGTATTTACTTTATTAAATTGTAATTATTATGTAATTTCATAATGTTTACTTGTAGTTATAATTGTTTCAAATATTTATTTTTATGTGCTTTATTTTTAATATGATTGTTATACTCTAACAAGAAGGCAAACCACAACAGCAGCAACTACAGCAACAAATCACAACATGGCCAATAAACAACACTCAGAACAAATGGCTCAGATTTGGAGGCAAAGAAAACAGTTGACCAGGCAGGAGGTCAGGGATGGATATGATCATTACCCGTTTTGATCAATAGAAAACATGATTTGAACTTCGTCTTTCTCTTCTTGCTCTTTGGTTCTGCTCTGCATCATGAAGTCTCCTTTTTAACTCCTATGATTTGGGGTTGTAAATTTTTACACAGTAAAGTTCAGTACAGTCGATTTAACTAGGTTATTTTTTATTCTAGTAACAAATATGTCCTCACGTGTCACCCTTGTGTTCAGTAGTGACATGTATGGGCTGCGTGTCATCTTTATTTCCAGTCTGCTCCAGTTACATTCTCACACAAGTTTCAGAGTGACAGTGTTTGGTTTTAAAGCCAATAACTGCTTTGAAGCTTCTGTTTAATTCACATTCTGAACTCTACCACAGCAGTGGATGTTCTGGTGGAGGAGGGGCCTCTCAGCATCAGCATCTTTCCATGTAAGCGGTCAGTTTTAGCCCTCACACTGGATATGAGGGCTGATTCGTTCAGAAAGTTCTCAGTAATTAGGTTCTGTAAAAACAAAACAAAACAAAAAAAAAAACGCCCCAGAAGTTCCTGACTTTCCTGACTTTGCTGAAAGTAAAAGCCTCTGCTCCACATGACGCGCTCATATGGAAATGAACCTGAGATGAGAAGACGCTTCTATCATACAGAGGCTCAACTCTCCCTGAGAACAGATCAGATGGGTGCTTTGAAATTGGACTAATTCAGCACTTTCTGAGTAAGAAGCGCACAGCGCAGATATGTGACCAGCATTACCCCTCTTAAACTACTCCATCTATATGTGTGTGTGTGTGTGTGTGTGTGTGTGTGTGTGTGTGTGTGTGTGTGTGTGTGTCCATGTATCCAGGGAGGCTGGGCACGTCTCCACAAGCTGGTGACAGGATCCTGGAGGTATCAGGCTGCAGATCCACACATAGTTCTGTCTTTGATCTGCTTCTATTATTTTGAACAACCTTTAGCTTCTCCTCTAGGATGAATGCATTCATGAGACTCTGGCACCAGGCAACTTTCCAACGATCTGTCCATCAAAGCTTCCATGTGCCTTTGAAACAGAACTTAAACATTAATCCTATTGGTAACCGTCTGAAAACCCACTTAGTCCTGTGGATATAAACCAAGCGTATGTTGCTCTAATATTTGGTCCAAATAAAACAGATTCCTTTTACTGCTGTTTGACTGAACTGGATCTCAGTAATTGAGGCTTTGAAATCTTTGCTGATGTTCAGTCAATACAGTAGAGCTTTTGTGAACAAGGAAACAAGTGAAAACTTCTTATTTCATTGATCCTTTGCCAGTTCAAATAGATGATCAGAGATCAATAATCACTGACCTCAGACCAGTTAATGTAAGACTATAGAGACAAAACAACACAAATCCTTCTCCTGCTTCTCTTTAAATCAGGAAACAGGAATAGACAGAATCAAAGCAGCACTATTAAATATGATGTTATAATTTTCCCTTGTCTGCCTTTATCCACACAAGTTTGAGTGATATTAAGTTTTTTTTTGCAACTAACAAATTTCATTGTTGCTTTTCATAAGTTTGCACTGCAGAAATGCAAAACCTAACAGGTATTTAGTCTAGATTCTAGTGGAAATATTTTAGAAGGCCTGAAATAAGAAAACAAACTTCTAAGTAACTCTTCAAGAGCTTGCTGTAAGTTAAAAAATCCTTAATATTGATGAAAATGTACTTATTCCATTGGCAGATAATTTCACTTATAGCAAGAGATTTTTCAGATGTTATAATTGACATTATCTGCCAGTTGAACCAGTACTTTTGTAAGGAATTATTGACTTAAAACAAGCTCGTATATGTAAGATTTATAACTAAGATATATACACTAGAAACTAGGCTAAAAATACATTGAGTTTGGAGGTCTGCAGATAATGACTGAAGAAAGTGTATTTTATAGACCTGTGGTCATGGGAGTGAAAGACAAAGTTGAACTAAATCCTTTGGGTGGAACAAATTAATGTTGGAGAAAAAAGAAGGTAAACTTTATTCATAATTTAAGTAGGGTAATGTGGATAATTAGGTGGCCATGTTTCTAAAGAATCTTTGTTTTTTGTTGTCAGTTTTCTGTTCTGTGGTTGCTGCCAGTAGAACACTGTATCTATATTCACCTAAACACAGAACAGCTGCTCCCAAAGAAATGTAATAACTCCTGGCAGTAAGACAAATGAACAAATATGTTCATTGACATTGTATTTTACTTAAATAGCAAAAGAAAACTAAACATTAAAAATAACTGCTAAAGTTCTGTCCCACCCACTGCACTGTAGAACTGATATGATCCAAGTCACTTTGGCTCCAGATGATCTCTGCCTTCATCAGTTTAATGATGTGAACCTCTGAAGCTGAATCCAGCCTTTGTTTTCTGTGTATGTTGTAATCCTTCCCTAATCCCTGCAGGTACTGAAGCGCTCCAACAGTCCAGCTAATGATCATAGAGCAGCTGGTTATCTGGCTGCATCATCTACTGTAACACATCGTAATGTGTCTCTAATTCTGCTGCTCTCTCCTTGCAGCGTCTCTTCTGAAAGGACTGAAGCATGCCAACATCGTGCTCCTCCATGACATCATCCACACCAAGGAAACCCTGACTCTGGTGTTTGAGTATGTGGTGAGTTTGAACTCTGACCCCAGCTGTGTGATGGGTGGACCACAGAGCTCCAAATGTAGATTAAAAGTCTGACTTCAGGGAAACTATAGTTCTGATGAGTATCTATATTTATTTTTTGCTCTGTGAGACTTTTCAGGTTTTCATATCCATTTTTCTGAAACACGAGCTGTGAATATTTTAACTGGTAAACACTTACTTGGTTCACAGGCCTTTAAAAACAAAAGCTCCATGGATTTTTTTCAGGTTTTACTAAAGTAATAAAGGTGTGTGTTGTTGGGTGGGTGGGGGGCTCTCTTCAGCAGTCACTGGGTAGGGGGCGGGGTCCGCCCTAGGCAGGTCATTGCTCCATTGCAGGGCTGCATTTCTATTCAGATGAATCTTTGATCCTCAGCTTGTGAGGGGAAGAGCAGATCTGGATCCCTCCTCCGTCTTACTCAGCTTTTCAGCAAGGGTGAGGTAAATGGAGTGGTCTGATGCGGTTTATAATCTGGTTCTGCTTGTGAGATATGAGTAGAACTCAGAAGATTCTTTTTATATAGGCTTATATAAGTTATATATAGATTATTGATCCTGTTGGATCTTCTCTTATCTTCTGTTCAAAACAGTAAATCCTTCCCATATGCAGCAGACTGACTGCTAGGGGTGAGTTTTATTGTTGGTGGAAAACTTTAAGTTAATGTCAAGTTCGGCTCATAAGGATGTAGAAAAACACATTATAGATTTTTCTAAAAGCTAATGGAGAGTGACGGCAGGAGGGCATAATGCGAGGACAGAAAACCGATGGGTTAAATCAGTGGCGAGTATTACAGAGAGATGGAGATAATGGAAATAAAAAGGGGAAAGATGAAAACAGAGATGTGGAGCATGGCTTTGTGGGAGATGGACAGGCATGTCTGCATGTGAATTATTCAGCAGGCTCCTTTGGTGTGAGCAGCAGTGGGAGATTGTAAATATCTCTGTGATTTCCGAACCACTGCCTCCTCTATCCATAAATCTGCTCACAAAGCACCAAAACGCTGCCTGCCTGCCAAACATGTCCGGACTCTGTCGGTTCATGTGGTCAACTTTGACAAAATACAAACACTCTTCCTGTTTTGTGGTCCCCTGCAAAGAAAAGAAATGCAGGTATTATTACTGTATGAAGTGTCTTTGCTTGGAGATCAACAGGTATCAAATTCTGATCCGAGTTCCTCTATTAAAGACAGAAAAACTACAATTCATTCATTGCTGCTGTTAAAATAACATATAGATCAATCTGTTGATCAATCTGAACTTCCTGCTGCTTTAGTGAACTTTGTATTCAGCTGTAGTACAGGACAAGTCAACTGTAGTAAGCAAAGCATTTTGTAAAATTGATTGAAATAAAAATAACTGCTCTTGTCTTCATGTTGCAGCACACAGACCTGTGTCAGTACATGGACAAACACCCAGGCGGTCTCCACCCAGACAACGTGAAGGTAATGCTTCTCTTCTAGAGCCTGGATTTTTTATCCAGTTTGTTTCTCTAAGTCAGTGATCAACCTGGATTTAGTGAACACCACCTCCAACCCCTACCAGGAAGTTTTCATTATTTGTATAATTTTACAACTTTATCTTGAGGGTTGGAAACTTTATCATGTGATCAGTTCTTGGAAGCTTCTCTGTTCTGGTAGTTCAGAGGTTCTTGTTTTGTGCTGCTGATCTTGATGATCATCCTGTGACGGAGTTCTGTAGCCACTGTGTTGGGTTTCTGAGAGAGAAGTAAACAGCTCACAGGCTGCTGGTCCCAACAGGCATGCTCACATTGACTTAAGGTTACAGGAATGTCATGTTAAATGGTTTCCCAAACCTTCACAAATTAAGATCTGAAAAGTGTGGTGTGTGTATGCATTCAGCTCTTTCATGTTTAATACTTTGTAGAATCACCTTTTGGGGTTTGTCTCTAGCAGCCGTGAAAATCTTCAGACTGAAATTTTTGTTCGTTTGTCTTTGCGAAACGGCCAAGCTCAGTCAGACTGGATGGATAAGATCTGCAAACACCAAGAAAAACCACAGAACCAACAGATTAAGAATTCATTTTTCTGTCAGTATACCTGTACTTCTACACCTGGAGAAGAAGAAAAAAAAACAATAATTGTGAAACCATAGCAACAAACAACATATGGGTGTGTAATAATAATTAGAACATCACTGAAAAGTATGCAAACTTCTTGCTAAATATTCTGCAGGACACCTGCCATACATATAGCAGGTAAACTATGGCAGGAGGATGATTTAGCTTGCTCCACTGTTTGAATCCATCAGCAGCAAATACAAAAGCAGAAAGTTACTTTTCTGTCATCTTTAAACAGTGATTAGTTCATTTTCACCTCCTTTAGACAACACAGGGATGGCAGCCTGTGCTGGTGAAACTGCGAGCCTGTCCTGTCTGTCCTGTATGACCGTGCAGCGCTCTGAGTCACTGCCTTGTGTTTGCAGGACTGTAGGACCGAGCTAACATAAATTAACAGATGGGAAGAAGCAATAATGTGATGAACCAGGCAACTTGGTGGTGGAGGGGGTGTTGGGATGTTCTGTCATGCAGGGAGGTGACAGTTCAGGCTCCATCTGTCATGCAGCAGCTCATACCTTTCAACACCACAGATTTACAGAAGCTCTGTGTGTTTCTCCTGCTGCCAGCAGCCGTGCAAGTCACATGGATGATGTGAGATTACTGCAGGAGAGTCGAGCGAGGTGCTCACACCCATCAACTCTGTTACCTAACAGTGAGACTCCTGCCACGGAGTTTCCAACGTGTTGATAGGGTTCGTGACTTTATGCAGACATGACATGTTGTGAATTGGAACCACATATCATTATGAGGATTGTTACAGTCCAGTGCTTCTCAATTCCAGTCCTCAGGCCCCCCTGCTCTGCATGTTTTAGATGTGCCTCTATTCCAGAACAGCTGATTCAA